ATATTCTATATTATTATAAAATCAAGTAATGCAGATATTGAAATGAATTCTCAATAGCATAATTAACATCTACTACAATCAATTCCAATCTCCACAAAGTCATAACTTCTATTTTACAGAAATGCACAAGATACTTTTATCGATTTTGCAGTATATAACTTCAAGTTAGAGTAATAGAAATTCATTATTTTAAATAATGAATTGCACTCACCATATTCAAAATCAGATTACTCTGATATGTATAGCTGCCCACAAGTGTTAAAGGAAACTATGTGTTGAATGTATGTATGACCATGGAGTGGATGTCAAGCAAACAGTTCCCATTAATAAATTTCAGGATATGGCTATGAAGAAATTAACAGAGTCCAAGCTTAAAGATACATCTAAGTTAACTGAATAGAGAATGGCCTTTAAGTCCTTACTCTCTCAAACCGAATAAATGATGAAGAAAATTTGGGAAGAATTGTCACAATCTATCAAATAAGTATACGATTAGATTGAAAAGGAAAACTAATCATACTTAAACCTCATCAACGAAAATGCTAATCTAGCTGAATCCTCCTACACTGATATAGAAAAATTAGTAAACATTGTAGAAGGATCGACTTTAAATGATTGGAATGCTTCCAAGAATTCTTATATGAAGTAGTTAGATAAGACCAAGAGCTGGTGGGACCAACATATAAAGGCTTTTATTGAGTAGTCTAACTAAGGAATCCAATATATCCAATCATTAATTAAGTAAGGATTATAAATCTTATCTTTAGGAAAGATTAAGAAGAAGTTTATTAAATGAAAGAAGATCTTTATGAGATGCTTACCTACATCCAAGTTATAGATGAATCTTTATATTAGAAGATTCTTGATATACTTAGAAAAGAGAAAGTTTCAGACATTATTGGATTCCTGTCGAAGACATACAATAATCAGTTTTATGAATCTTTAAACTACAAGTAAGAGAATATTAGCGAGATCAAGAAGTAAGTAATGAAAATAACTAATTTCTTGATAAATATTTAGGATCATAAATTTAGTAAGGATGACTATTCTTAAGAAACATATGAAAAGGAAAGAGCGGATCTTATCAAAAGGATAAAGGATAACAAAGGAATCACAGTTTTCATCAAATTTTTAGTGCGACTAACAGGAATAGATGTTAAGTTTATTCAATGTGGATCCAATGGTTTGAATTTATTAATAGGCATGAAGGTAGATATCAGAAACCAATCATTAGAGAATATAAGAATCAAGAATACTTCTTTAATTGGAGGAAACTTAGTGAGATGCAATTTAAATGGATCAGAATTTGAAAATGTAGACATAAGTGGAGTAAATTTGAATGGTGCTTAACTATTTAATTGTAAATGGAAGAACTTAAAGGTCCATGAATTGAATAAGTTGGATGGCCATAGTCGTTATGTGAATTCAGTCTGTTTCTCTCCTGATGGAAATACATTAGCTTCTGGTAGTTGTGATTAGTCTATCCGTCTATGGGATGTCAAAACAGGATAATAAAAAGCCAAATTAGATGGTCATAGTAATACTGTCTACTCAGTCTGTTTCTCTCCTGATGGAAATACATTAGCTTCTGGTAGTAATGATAAGTCTATCCGTCTATGGGATGTCAAAACAGGATAATAAAAAGCCAAATTAGATGGTCATAGTAATTATGTCTACTCAGTCTGTTTCTCTCCTGATGGAAATACATTAGCTTCTGGTAGTGATGATAAGTCTATCCGTCTATGGGATGTCAAAACAGGATAATAAAAAGCCAAATTAGATGGTCATAGTAATTGTGTTAACTCAGTCTGTTTCTCTCCTGATGGAAATACATTAGCTTCTGGTAGTGATGATAAGTCTATCCGTCTATGGGATGTCAAAACAGGATAATAAAAAGCCAAATTAGATGGTCATAGTAATTGTGTTAACTCAGTCTGTTTCTCTCCTGATGGAAATACATTAGCTTCTGGTAGTGATGATAAGTCTATCCGTCTATGGGATGTCAAAACAGGATAATAAAAAGCCAAATTAGATGGTCATAGTAATTGTGTTAACTCAGTCTGTTTCTCTCCTGATGGAAATACATTAGCTTCTGGTAGTGATGATAAGTCTATCCGTCTATGGGATGTCAAAACAGGATAATAAAAAGCCAAATTAGATGGTCATAGTAATTGTGTTAACTCAGTCTGTTTCTCTCCTGATGGAAATACATTAGCTTCTGGTAGTGATGATAAGTCTATCCGTCTATGGGATGTCAAAACAGGATAATAAAAAGCCAAATTAGATGGTCATAGTAATTGTGTTAACTCAGTCTGTTTCTCTCCTGATGGAAATACATTAGCTTCTGGTAGTGATGATAAGTCTATCCGTCTATGGGATGTCAAAACAGGATAATAAAAAGCCAAATTAGATGGTCATAGTAATTGTGTTAACTCAGTCTGTTTCTCTCCTGATGGAAATACATTAGCTTCTGGTAGTGATGATAAGTCTATCCGTCTATGGGATGTCAAAACAGGATAATAAAAAGCCAAATTAGATGGTCATAGTAATTGTGTTAACTCAGTCTGTTTCTCTCCTGATGGAAATACATTAGCTTCTGGTAGTGATGATAAGTCTATCCGTCTATGGGATGTCAAAACAGGATAATAAAAAGCCAAATTAGATGGTCATAGTAATTGTGTTAACTCAGTCTGTTTCTCTCCTGATGGAAATACATTAGCTTCTGGTAGTGATGATAAGTCTATCCGTCTATGGGATGTCAAAACAGGATAATAAAAAGCCAAATTAGATGGTCATAGTAATTGTATTAACTCAGTCTGTTTCTCTCCTGATGGAAATACATTAGCTTCTGGTAGTGATGATAAGTCTATCCGTCTATGGGATGTCAAAACAGGATAATAAAAAGCCAAATTAGATGGTCATAGTAATTGTATTAACTCAGTCTGTTTCTCTCCTGATGGAAATACATTAGCTTCTGGTAGTGATGATAAGTCTATCCGTCTATGGGATGTCAAAACAGGATAATAAAAAGCCAAATTAGATGGTCATAGTAATTGTATTAACTCAGTCTGTTTCTCTCCTGATGGAAATACATTAGCTTCTGGTAGTGATGATAACTCTATCCGTCTATGGGATGTCAAAACAGGATAATAAAAAGCCAAATTAGATGGTCATTCATATGCTGTAAAGTCAGTCTGTTTCTCTCCTGATGGAAATACATTAGCTTCTGGTAGTTATGATAACTCTATCCGTCTATGGGATGTAAAAACAGGATAATAAAAAGCCTAATTAGATGGTCATAGTAATTGTATTAACTAAGTCTGTTTCTCTCCTGATGGAAATACATTAGCTTCTGGTAGTTATGATAACTCTATCCATCTATGGGATGTCAAAACAGGATAATAAATTAAATCCTCTGATAAAAACTACAAAGATATTCTTGCATAATTTAAGATTCCTCACCAATAACATAGTCATATTACCGAAGGTACTATTTATTCCCTATCATATTGTTAGCCTCCAATTACATCACTACACTACTTATATCCCAAGAAGCAATATTTCAAGCCAAAGGAGCTTTAATTCTGAGAGGAGAGTTTATAAATTAATCAGGTATTGATTTAATGACATTGTTTAAACAAAAAGGAAGTTGTATTTTAGAAGACCTCAAGTAAAAGTGATAATTATTATTACAAAGAACATTACAACAATTATTATTTTAATTTATTCTTCATATTTTTTTCATAATATCTTTTTTTTGCTCTATTCTTTATTTTGATTTCTCAAGATTCATACAAGTTTTTCAAAAATATTCCATTTTTAGCAAATGTATACTTTTTTTACATTATTATTTTTAAAATATATAGTCATTATAGTGTAGGGTATATATTTTAGATCTCCTTAAAAAAAAACTGATATTAATTAACATTTATAGAGGTTTAATGTTAAATGATACTACATTAAATTTATAATTCAAATAGAGAATAGTAGGCTAAATGAAGAGATTAAAATAAAGATTGATTTTAATTACTTAATTGAAACCTAACAAAACTGAATGATTATTTCATAAGATATTCTGATAATTTATTTAATTTATTACTATTTATAAACAAAAGTTTTAATAGATATAATTAATAATTTTGTATAATTAGTTTATAAATAGTAAAAGATATATTTAATAAAAAAGATAATAATAAAAAAGATATGACAAGAATTAAAAAAATAAATTTAATCTTCTAAACTATATAACAAAGTTAAAACAATATGATATTGATTAATTTTAACATTGCTCTCAATTCAAGATAATGTATCAATCACCTGTTAATTGATAAGATATTTTATAAAACTTTGAAAACATATTAAAAAAGTAGTCTAATTTTGAAATTATAAAGATTTAAGGAGATAATTATATCTTATCTAACCGTATTATATATGAATCTTAATTATTGATTAACTTGAGCACAAAGTAAAATTTTACATACATCAAATAATAAAAAGTTATTACTCAATGTATAATCACTGTTGTCCCTTCAAAATGATTTTTACAAAATTAATTAATATCTAAACAAAAAATAATATCCCTTAAGACTTTAAAAACTCACAATTAAATTAAGAAATTGCACCTAAATTGTAGAATTAAAAAGGAAATAATTATTGGTATTTGATTAACAATAATGATAATCTTAATAAAATTTATCTTCTCTATAACAACCACCCTAAGATAAATTGGACGATTAATTATTCAAATATATAAAAAAGCATTCATATTAGCCACACTTAAATGTTTGGGTATTTTCTCTTAAATTTCCAAAATAAGTTTTTACTAATAAAAATTTTAAATAACATTGTTAAAATTTAAAGTTTATAAAATCAATTTAATAAAAAATAATAGTATTACTTGTTAATTAAATATAAGTTGAGAAAAATATTATTTTGTGAATATATCGACTCTCAGGAAATACGAAGATTAGAAAACTTACAAATGATAAATGCTTAAAGATTTAGTTGTAGAATCTACTTTATAAATCTTGTACAATTCACATTCTAAATATAAATTGAGAGAAAATGGTTGGTTATGATACTAAGATCTAAGATATTATTGCATTCATGCAACTAAAAGTTCTATTTCATAATATTTTAAAATGTGCTAAATTAATTTCCATTTTAGAAATGCTTCAAGTTTTTTAAAAAAGAAAAAAACTATAAAATAGAACTTTATCAACAAATATTGGACACAAGAAGTTTATTAAAATAGATTTAAATTAAGGGTTAATATAGGTTAGTTTTTAAATTAAAATGAAAGGGTTGTTTTTAAAAAACTCTCTTATACCTTGAAAAATTGAAGTCTGGGTAAACCATAATATTAGATATATCTAAATTTTATATAATATTCTTTTACTGCAAAGAGGTGTTAAAAAAAAGATATCTTGTATTTTTAACCTAAATTTCTTTAAATCTATAAACAAACAATACTTTTTGTTTATATTCCATAGACGAATAGAGTTATCTCTACTACCAGAAGCTAATGTATTTCCATCGGAGAGAAACAGACTGAGTTTATACAACTAGTATGACCATCCAATTTGGCTTTTTATTATCCTGCTTTGACATCCCAGAGACGGATAGAGCAATCACCACCTCCATAATACCTATCACCTACAGAAGCTAATTTTTTTCCATCAGGAGAGAAACAAATTGATCTTACTTCATATCTATGACCATTAAATTTATTTAATTCATGGATTCTCAAGATTTTCCATTTACAATTAATTAATTATGCTCCATTCAGATTAATTCCAGTTATGTTGACATTATTAAATTAAGATCCACTAAAATTACAACTAACAAAATTAGATCCTACTAAAGACGTATTTTAGATCTTAATATTTTACAAATTTTTGTTTCTAAGGTCCAACTTCATCTAAGCTAATAAATATAATTAATTCGACCCGACCTATATTAAAGCTATATCTATAGATGTGAGTTGAACTAAGAATCACATTAATTCTTATATCTATTTATTATCCTTGATGCTTTAAATTAAACTTAGTATAGATTCTTCATTTTTTTTCAGAGGAAAAGTCATTGGAATAAACCAATGCAATCTTCAACTTTTCCTTTCTTAATATTTCTAATATGTCATCAAATATTTATTCATCGACATCTTTGACCTAAGCAAAGATGTCAGCTAGAGCTTCCTTCTCCTAAAAAGAGCACTGCATTTTCTTTTTTATTATTAATAATGAATTTCTCTTACTTTAGCTTTAAGTTATTTACTGCAAAATTGATAAAAGTATCTTGAGCATTTTTAATAAAATAGAAGTTCAGACTTTGTGTAGATTTGAAATTGGTTGGAATTAGTATAAAATATGCTATTGAGAAATCATTTCAACTTATGCATATCTTTATTCTTAAATAATATGGAATAACTAATTTTTATATGAATATTTTAATTTTTACATAATTTAAGTTTTATAATTGATGAAATATTTATTTTAGAGGAAAAAAATATGTAATTTTTCAGCAGGCAATTAGTCCTAAAACTCAATTGAAACCAATGTAATTATCATTATTGAATTTATATTTGAAATAAAAATGGCTATTCATATAGTTTTTAAATTCGAACTTAAAGTTTTATATTCTAAAAGATTTTGGTAAATCATATAATCAAGATTATAATTTCAAAGAGTCCAACCGAAAAAAGTATCCCCTTCCCACCTTTTTAAAAAGCTTATGGAGAAGTGAATATTTACTTTGGACAGGTCATTTTTACCTCAATTGATTAAACATTAACCTTCAAATTTGATCTTAGATTTGTACCCACTAACAATTGATTTATTTTTAATAAAAACACTAGTGATAATAATTTAGATGATTTAGTCATCTATTGGTATCCAAATTATTATTAGCACTTGGTTCTTCTGATTTCAATTGAGTGTAATAAAATATCAGTACCATTTTATACTAAGGATCCACCATATTTTATTCAGTCTTAGAATAAAAATTATAAGTTGCTTGTTGACATCAACATTCTAATGTCAATTAGGTGAGTTTCTAAATTANAAAATTATAATCCAAAATCTTTATCTTTTAAATATAGACTAATTTAAAAAATCAATCAAGGAAGGAGAATGTTAAGAAATTGAATAGGTCAAAAGCTCAGTTCTAGAATGTCCATTATCACTACCTACCAAATCATGGTCAGCACAAATAATAGATAATATCCATTTGATAAAAAATTAGTTACTTTGCAATTAGTTTTTAATATTTTAAGATCAACCTTTTAATTTTAGTTTAATAAAAATAAAATAAATTGATAATGCTCATTAAGTTATTGTGAATGATTTATTTATGTAGGATGTAAATTGTAATAATTGCATATATGGATTATTTTAAATTGTAGATATTTAAATATCAAAATCTGAATCTTTGTAATTTTAGTCAATAAGAATTTAAAATTGCATTTGTGGGCTAATAGGATGTTTATCAATCTTGAAAAATTAGGATGATTTGTTATTTCATAATGAACTATTCTAAAGTGATCGCCTATTATAATATAAAAAGCTTGATGATATTATGTTTAACTTAGATTACTTAACAATTATTTCTAATTGTATATTTTCAAATAACTCTGCACATTTTGGAGGATCTTTATTTATTTAAGAAATCGATGTTTTTATTACAAACAGCTAGTTCTACAATAATTTTGCTTAAATTGGAGGGGCTATTTATTTTTTTTCCAAATAGAAATAATTGTATTTTTTCAGAACTAAATTTTTTAATAATCGAGCCTCAATAGCTGGTGCAGTGTTTTTTAATAATTAATCTCTTCAATTAACTAAAGAATTAGAAATTGAGTTTGCAGACAATAATTCAACTTAATATGAATAAAATATTTTTGAAAAGCCACGCTCATTGACAATATCAATTGATGGAGGTAAGACTCTATTAGAAAAGAAATTTATAAAAAAAAACAAGGATGAAATAATTGAATAAATAAGAATCATTCCTTATAAGATTTTAGGGTATCAATCTAAAGTAAATTAATTGACTCTTCCATCAGGAAGAAGTATTTAATCATATCAATATTTTGATGAGTACACATACTCTTTTATCCCTTACAATTTAACTTTTAGAATCATAGCTTTAGATAAATTCAACAATCAAAATAAAGGTTTATATGATTCAAGTTGCACATTAAAACCTATGGCATTTAATTTAACTTCATAATCAGAAGCTACATACGTTACATATAGTCTATCGAAATATCATGCTTTTTTTGATAACAACACTGGAGATTATAATTTAGATGATTTAGTCATCTATTGGAATCCAAATTATGATTAGGACTTGGTTCTTCGGATTTCAATTGAGTGCAATGAAATATCAGTACCATTTTATAATAAGGATCCACCATATGTTATTCAGTCTTAGAATAATAATTACAAGTTACTTGTAGACATCAGAACATTCTAATGTTAATTAGGTGAGTTTCTAAATCAGACAACTGGAGGGTGTATGATTTGTGATAAATTTCAAAATTAATATTAAGTAACTAGAAAAGCCCTAAATTGCAGTTACAAAGACGATACGAAAATTAGACTGATAGAATCTTCAATGATTGAATTAAGATAATATTATTGGAGAGCCTATAACTATAGTTAAAATATTGAATATTGCTATCACTTCCCTAAAAATTGTTAAGGTGGATGGAAACCAGGAGATAAATCTTGTACAAGAGGTTAAGGGTCATTCTATTTAAGTTCTGCTTATTAATATTTAAATTGCAACATAACTATTTATAATATACTTTCGATCACTTTTGTAATCTTATGGACATTATTATCTACTTTAAATTCTTCTAGCAGTACTTCAAGAAATAGTTACAGAATTTATAGCTAGGCTAAGATTAAGAATATTTGGGGTTAAATTTCCAATCAAAAAAATATCAACAGCTATACTAATTAAACTTTTGACCAACTACTTTTAAATAATTTCTACTCTCTTTACATTTTTATTAGTATTCCCAATTGATTTATCAGCTATTATTAATAGTTGAGCTAATCCTATTGAATCTATAGCTTTTTCTCTTGATTGCTACTTAATTTCAATTACTGATTTATTAATTATATTTTTCAGAGTTATCTGGAGTTTAATCATGGCTTTATCATATATTCTAATATCTATTGGATTATGTGCTTTAGCAATTGCACTCAAAATAATTCACCATGATTTTTCATTTATTACTATATCACTAATTTATTTGTTTATCTATTTCAAACCAAATTTAATTGGACAACTTATTTCTTTGTTATCCTATAGAATAATTTCAAATGAATTTTAGATTTCAAGCAATGTGTCTAAAAAGGATTATTGATTTTGATATTCCTTTGTTAATCATAGCATTACAATTCCAACTATCCTTTAGTATGGAGTTTATAAAAATAGGCAAAAACTTGACAAAACAACCACTCGCAAGACTTGGGGTTATCTATATCATGAGTATATCAAAAAAGTCTATTTTGGGAAACAATTAAAATAATTTAACAAAAGGAGCTAATAATATTGGCTCGAATTTATTATGAAGATTAACTTACTATCAAAGCATCTTTAATTTTTATGTTGTTATTTCCTTATAGTCACTTTGCTAAATCTATTTATCCTTATATGACTAAGTAATTGAATATCATAGATTAACAATCAATCATTATTTGTGCCATTTCAATTGTCTTAGCATATCTGCATAAACTTAATTCTGAATTCCAATAACAATTCTAATTATTTTCTATACATTATTAACAATTATTTAAATTTTATTATTTTTTGCCTAAAACACAAGATATTAAAAAAACCCTCATTATAAATGCATGGTTTATTATTTAAATCAACATAACAATTAGATTTTTCTTATATATTTTCACGACTCAGAGATATATATTTCTAATCTATCGTTTAGTACAAATATCAATAAATTCATTACATAATTAATGTGTATTTAATTCTTATGGAGCATTTTCACATATGATCTTTTATAATTTGCCATTCCACCAAAAATAACTTAATCATTGATATCCCTTAAGTAACTTTCTTTCAACATATTATCCTTGCATTTCGTTTCAATTCTACAATCACCTTCAAATTTTGGTACACAATTTCCATTCTATAATTAATTCAAACATTAAGTATATGTATTAAATGACAATGAAGCATTATCACAAGTTCTATCTTTACACCCTGTAGTTTCATCTGGAGACTTAGTACGTGTATCCATATACTATGTACATTAATCGCGCCCAATATTTGATGGACCTGCATTTTTACATGTCTTGGGTACAGAATCATATCTATTCCAATGACTTAAGGTTCCAAATATATTTTTATTGCGAGCTTCTTATATTATGGCTGCTCCACACTTTTTATTCAATACATAACCTTTTTCATTTGTTATAAAGTACCCAAATATTCTTGACTTTTTTTATTTGTTGTATAAGTATTCAAGGCATTCTCACATTTTTTGTCAAACGCATAATTTTCCTGTGCAAAAACAATCATTGCCAATAGTATCTTTTTTACAAGCATCCTTTATTTAATTTGTTCAAGATAATAGTCTATCAATGCATCCATCCTCATATTTTATTGTACAAGATGAAAGGAAATCTTGGCATTCTTAATCAGTTTTTAAATTCTATGTAGCTATTTTATCTAAGCATTTTCCATCTACCCAAAAAGGGGTTGGGTTTGGGGTTTGGG